TCTGCTTCCATCTTTGTCTCTTCCTATCTTTCTCTCTGTATTATTTCACCTCTCTTCTCTTCTCTTCTCTTCTCTTCTCCCTCTCTCTCCCATTCTCTTTTCTTCTCTTCTCTTCTCTTCTCCCTCTCTCCCCTTCTCTTTTCTCTTCTCTTCTCTTCTCCCTCTCTCTCCCTTTCTCTTTTCTTCTCTTCTCTTCTCTTCTCTTCTCCCTCTCTCTCCCCTTCTCTTCTCTTCTCTTCTCTTCTCCCTCTCTCTCCCCTTCTCTTTTCTTGTCTTCTCTTCTCTTCTCTTCTCCCTCTCTCTCCCCTTCTCTTTTCTTCTCTTCTCTTCTCTTCTCTTCTCCCTCTCTCTCCCCTTCTCTTTTCTTCTCTTCTCTTCTCTTCTCTTCTCCTCTCTCTCCCCTTCTCTTTTCTTCTCTTCTCTTCTCTTCTCCCCTCTCTCCCTTCTCTTATCTCTTCTCTTCTTCTCTTCTCCCTCTCTCCCTTCTCTTCTCTTCTCTTCTCTTCTCCCTCTCTCCCTTCTCTTTTCTTCTCTTCTCTTCTCTTCTCCCTCTCTCACCTTCTCTTTCTCTCTCTTCTCTTCTCTTCTCCTCTCTCCCTTCTCTTCTCTTCTCTTCTCTTCTCTCTCTCTCCCCTTCTCTTTTCTTCTCTTCTCTTCTCTTCCTTCCCTCTCTCCCCTTCTCTTTTCTCTTCTCTTCTCTTCTCCCTCTCTCCCCTTCTCTTCTCTTCTCTTCTCTTCTCTTCTCTTCTCCCTCTCTCCCTTCTCTTTTCTTCTCTTCTCTTCTCTCCCCCTCTCCCCCTTCTCTTTTCTCTTCTCTTCTCTTCTCTTCTCTTCTCCTCTCTCTCCCCTTCTCTTCTCTTCTCCCTCTCTCCCCTTCTCTTTCTCTTCTCTTCTCTTCTCTTCCCTCTCTCTCCTTCTCTTTTCTTCTCTTCTCTTCTCTTCTCCTCTCTCCCTTCTCTTTTCTCTTCTCTTCTCCCCTCTCTCCCCTTCTCTTTTCTTCTCTTCTCTTCTTTTCTCCCTCTCTCCCCTTCTCTTTTCTTCTCTTCTCTTCTCTTCTCCCTCTCTCTCCCCTTCTCTTTTCTCTTCTCTTCTCTTCTCTTCTCCCTCTCTCCCCTTCTCTTTCTTCTCTTCTCTTCTCCCCTCTCTCTCCCCCTTCTCTTCTCTTCTCTTCTCTTCTCTTCTCCTCTCTCTCCCTTCTCTTTTCTTCTCTTCTCTTCTCTTCTCCTCTCTCTCCCTTCTCTTCCTTCTCTTCTCCCTCTCCCCTTCTCTTTTTCTTCTTCTCTTCTCTTCTCCTCTCTCTCCCTTCTCTTTTCTCTTCTCTTTCTTCTCTTCTCTTCTCCCTCTCTCCCCTTCTCTTCTCTTTCTTCTCTTTCCCTCTGTCTCCCCTTCCTTCTCTCTTCTCTTCTCTTCTCCCTCTCTCTCCCCTTCTCTTTTCTTCTCTTCTCTTCTTCTCTTCTCCCTCTCTCTCCCTTCTCTTCTCTTATCTTCTCTTCTCACTCTCTCTCCCCTTCTCTTTTCTTCTCTTCTCTTCTCCCTCTCTCTCCCCTTCTCTTTTCTTTTCTCTTCTCTTCTCTTCTCTTCTCTTCTCCCTCTCTCTCCTTCTCTTCTCTTCTCCCTCTCTCTCCCCTTCTCTTTTCTTCGCTTATTATCGTTTTTCGTCAGCAGCTGGAATCGATTCGTATTTCTTATTCAAAGACGGCACTCGACCGGTCCACCTTGTACTCCCCTGACCGGACCACGTGACAAGCCACATACAGCGTTTTCTCAATTCTTGTCTTTGCCAAGTAAAAAAAACCCTGAAGATCAAACCAGGATTCGCCACCAACAAGCACATTTTCTTTTTCTTTTAACGATTTTCCTTAACTCCATTCCCGGATGTCATCAAAAATGATTGCATTTGCCATCATGGCTTCTCTACAGAGAAACACCAATAAAATGTCGCTTAAGGAAAGAAAAAACCTACAGCCGACATTTTTTTTATCAGTTTGTCTTAAAAAGATTTTATCAAGAGTATTTTTTGTTTGTTTGTTTTTTTTAATCGAGTTTACTCCAAGTAAGGGAGTAAAGCCACTAAGACGCAAGGTGTTGCTGGATGTGGAGGAATTAGAAAACAGAAACATTACTAAGGAGCGAGAACAAAAAAAGTGTAATCAGGAGAACAAAGAAAACGATTGACATTGCATTTTAATTTTTGAAGATTAAAGTTGGCTATAAAGCAGGGACCTGGAAAAGAGTTACACAGTCGAGAAGTGCGAGAAAAGAAAAAGAAACTGTTAACATAGAACTTACGGTTACATCTAGCCAGTTCGACTGTAAATTGATGAGACTTTGTTGCCAGTCTAGTATTCTGCTTAAATTCCTGCTTAGTGTCCAAGTATATATATATATATATATATATATATATATATATATATATATATATAGTATATTTTGGCAGCATAATTTCATTCAGACATGTTTCATTGAATAATTTAAAGTTTTGTTTACCTGTTTTCAACTGGATCCTTTCATATTAACGGACAAGCTTTTTGATGTCATTATTAAAAGAAGAGAGAAAATTACCGTGTTGATACATATCATTTTATTCCGAGTACTTTCGACATAACACAAAGCCATTATCATATATATATATAATTATTTTAAGACATTTTTATGTTTAACATTCTTTTTACAGATACAAATATTTAAGTGAATGCTCTGTTTATAATAAACAGTATTAAATAACATTTACCGGCCTGAATGTCCGAGAAATTTTCATAGAAAATATTCTCGGACATTCAGAAAAAATATGCTGTCGGAGGACGCATATTTTCTGTGAAACTTTCTCGGACATTCAGGCGGGTAAATGTTGTTTAATACTGTTTTTATAAACAAACATTAAATATTTAATATAAAAAATATTAGCTATAAAAATATATATATATATATATATATATATATATATTATTATTATTATTATTATTATTATTTGATTACTATATTTATTGTTTATATTATTATTTCTTCGATTCCCTATTCTGGGTATGACGATAAACTTCCATCTGGCAGCACAGCGACTAATCGAGAGGTTTTGTGGATCCTGAAACCACCTTTTAATTGCTGTTGTTTCTAGGTCTATCCTGACCCGGGGTGGTAGCACCTGATAGGGTCCAAGCTATGGGCAAATAGTTAATCCTCAAACTGGGGTCAAAACACTATGAAAGAGTAAAAGGTTTTATGGTGAAAATATCAGCAATACATTTTTGTAAATCAATTACTAATGCCTCCATGACAAATTAAATTTCTGCATTAAATGGCCTATAAGGAGTTGATATATGCCACTAAACACAGAAATAAATTCTTCCTTTTTTCATAAGATCCATTTAACGGGTTTTACTGTCTTAATTGTCATTGTCTTTTTAGTAATTGACGATTCTTTAAAGATTGGTTTATTACATTGTAAGAAATGAAGAGTTGAGAGAAAAAAACAAACAAAGCTAAATGCTTGTTCGTCAAACACAATATAACAATTTTATATTGTCTACAATAGAATTCGTCCACCACATTTTTTATTGAAGTACCGGGTGTAACAGCGAAATTGTCCAAATCATATAACAGCAAAATGATTAAAGATATCTTACGGGAATTTTTCCAGGATTTTTTATTACACTATTGAACTCTACTTTGAACAGTATGAATGTATTTAGCTCTGAGTCAAAATGATGATCCCTCTTCCTGACGTGACCTCCTCATCCGGTTACCCTCTCTACTGTTCCGTCTTTTTTAAATTTATTCACCTGTCTCTTGATGGTTCTTGAATGGGATGGAAGCCAGAGTATGAATGTTGGTATTATTACTGAAAACATGAATGATCATTTTCCTCTCACCATTGCTCATTTGGGAAGACATTGGGACTGACACAAAACGATTTTAGCCTATTTTCTTTTTAGCTGAAAAACTCAAAAGGTTTTTCAATGATTCTTACGACAAATGATGTCAAGATGGCTAAACGTCTTATCTGAAAACCTGGAAAAAAGAAACTCAATTGGTTTAGTGATTTTTTTAAAATATTAAACATTTTGTGGAATGGACAATTATGCTGTTACAGAATTTAGACAATTTTGCTGTAACACCAGCATATATATATATATATATATATATATATATATATATATATATATATATATATATATATATGTATATATTGAATGCATTCAACATCATCACTTGATAAGACACCGGAGGTGTTGAAACAAAAATAGCTATTTTTGTAGTGATTTCATAACATATTTATGTTATAATTTTTTTAAATAAATAATTATATCTGCTCTACTCTGTACTGAGCACTCTTTTAAGAATAGTAATTGATGGTTATTGGAATTCATTCCGTATACAACAATTATATACTTGGGTATATATATATATATATATATATATATATATATATACTGTTACACCTGGTATATAGATTGTGTTTTTGTCTTCGGGTAGACTGCAACTCCGACATGAGAAAGCACAAATGAAAAAAACATTGAGAGTTGGAGAATTCCAGTAAGATATCTTTAATCATTTCTAAGATACAAAAGTCCAAAGGTTAACAATCAGACAATTTTGGTGTTACACGATTTGGACAATTTTGTTGATACACCTGGCACTTCAATAAAAAAAATGTGATGTATAATAATTCTTGAAAATGGCAACAGTTTAGCTGAAAGCGTTTGGAACCTATAGACTTTGGACAGTTTTTTATTCATCATTGTACGCCGACAAGAGTGCTTAATTGATTTGTTGTTGTTTACAGTTTATCAACCGCTTCAGGATTATTTAAAGCCAGAATATATTTTTAGAGATAATAATGATTTACTGATACAAATCCTACTAATTAACCCATAGCTGGGAGGAGGAAAAGAAGAAGTAGATTTATACATTTTTCAAGGATATTTGCGCAATATAACGAACCCGACTGGAATTAAAACTCGGCTCTTCGAGCCGATATCCATTACACTACCGTAAATCCAAAGTTACAGCACCGGGTATTACCCGAGCGGTCACCCATTTATGTACTGATCAGACTCAATGTTGCTTAACTTCGGTGATCGTACGAGAAACGGTGCATCAGCTTGATTTGACCGTAAGCCGAATGGAGGAGTGGGGGGGCGAGAAAATGATAAAAACAAAAGAGAGAAAGAGAGAGAGAGAGAGAGATCAAGTTGATTGTCCGATGGAATTAATATTCGTTTCTTCATGGTTTCTTAGTGTATGTATTTCTTTAATCAGATTTACACCAAGCAAGGCAGTAAAGACACTAAGACACAAGAGATTACTAAGTGTCAATGAATTAGAAAACAGAAACATTATTAAGGAGCGAGAACAATAGAAGAGTAATCAGAAAGACAGTAGATAACGATTGACATTGCATTGAAATTTTAGATCAAAGTTGAGTGGAAAGTAAAAAGAATGAAATAGAATTAGAAGACTTTAGTGAGGGGAAAGGACAATAAAAGAAGAGGAATTAAGAAGACAGAAGATAACGATTGACATTGCATTGAAATTTTTGAAGATCAAAGTTGACTGGAAAGTAAGAAGAGTGAAAGAGAATTAGAAGACTTTAGTGAGGGGAAAGGACAATAAAAGAAGAGGAATTAAGAAGACAATAGATAACGATTGACATTGGATTGAAATTTTTGAAGATCAAAGTTGACTGGAAAGTAAGAAGAATGAAATAGAATTAGAAGACTTTAGTGAGGGGAAAGGACAATAAAAGAAGAGGAATTATGAAGACAGAAGATAACGATTGACATTGCATTGAAATTTTTGAAGATCAAAGTTGTCTGGAAAGTAAGAAGAGTGAAAGAGAATTAGAAGACTTTAGTGAGGGGAAAGGACAATAAAAGAAGAGGAATTAAGAAGACAGAAGATAACGATTGACATTGCATGGAAATTTTTGAAGATCAAAGTTGAGTGGAAAGTAAGAAGAGTGAGAATTAGCCAGAAAGCATGGAGACGGAAAGGAGTTCCACAAGCAAGAAGTGCGAGAATAAAGAAACTGTTACCATATATTTTGCTGTTCTAACCGATTCAACTGCCGTCAGTGTTGTACCACGCTTAAATTTATAAACTCTAGGTACCATAGCGAGGCGTTAAACTGAATAATTACATTGAAAATATTTAAAGAAAAGGGACAGGAAACAACTTTACGGCAGTGGGAAGTGACTGAAGCCGAAACGCCAGATCAGGACCAATAATATTGCTGATTATTCTTAGGATTTTATCAAGGATATCTAGATGTATAGAAGGAACACCAGACCATAGATGGAAGCAGTATTCTAACGATGGACGAATGGTAGATTTATTGATATATCTACGAGAGATTCTGGAGAAAAAAAAACATTTTCTAGGCCGTCTCAGTGAACCAACTTTTTTAGCAGCTGTCTTTGCAATGGATTCAATATGTCTTTCTATTCAGGACAGAAAAAGCGTTCGTTCAGCATGGCATGCAAATTTTTCTTTAATAATATTCCTCGAACATTTAGGCCGGTAGACGAAAAATAAATAGGAATATTCGCTAAAAAAATAACGTTTAAAGTGATGAAAAACTGTCAGGTTAATAAAAAAAATCTAAAATTCTCTTTGTTTACGTTTGGATACGAAACTGTGCAGATATGAAAAACTTCGAGATATTCTATGTCGGAAGAAATTTCGCTTGAATTTGGTTTCGCTTGACCGACGGCTCTACGTGGCCAACTTGGTTAAGGCGTGCCGGTCTTAAAGTTAGCTTCTTCTTCCCTGAGAGCAAATCTTTTGTTAATAAGATTTCTCGAACACTCAGACCGTTAGACGAAAATAAATAAAAATACTGTTTAATAATAAATAAAAACAGTGCCTACTAAAATATGACTATTCACTAAAAAAATAACATTTAAATCGATAAAAATCTCTCAGATTAATAAAAAAAAATCCAAAATTCTCTTTGTTTACGTTTGGATACGAAATATGTAGATATGAAAAACTATGACAGAAGAAATTTCGCTTGAAGGCACTAAATTTGACTTCAACTGGACGACCACTCTACGTGGCCAATTCGGTTTAGGCGTGCCGGTCTTAACGTTAGCTTCTTCTTCCCTGAGTGCAAATTTTTCTTTAATAAGATTTCTCGAACATTCAATCCAGTATAAGCAAATGAATAAATATACTGTTTAATAAATAAACGGAGCGTCTATTCAAATACGAGTATCCACTTAAAATAATGTTTAAAGTGATAAAAAAAAATTCTTTATACAAAATAAAATAACAAAAGTCCCATTGTGAAATTGGATGTTTTGAGAAAATATGTAAATTATCCCAACAGGAGAAACTGTCGATTATGATCAACCCGGAACAAAATAAACTGCTTGACGAAAAATCGGACGAATTCTTGCTAACATGGTACGAAGCCCGACTATGAAACTAGGAGTATTTAAATAAAATATGTCAATTTTCTTCCTCTTCACTTTTTCTATTTATCCCTGTTATCAGGGCATGATTATGTAGATAAGAATCTCGAGATGGATAATGATCCTGAATATATATATATATATATATATATATATATATATATATATATATATATATATAATTGTTTTCAATCCTTCATGGGCTTCCGATCGTTAGCTATGATTTAATTATGATGAACATGTCATTTTCGTTTATGATCGATTTCATCACGATTCTTTTGATATGCTTGGAAAGTAATTAAACGTTCTTATTGCTCAAAGTAGAGTCCAACAGTGTTATAAAACCTTGGAGAATTCCAGTAAGATATCTTTAATCATTTCTAACATACAATGGTTCAATCTAAGAATCGAACAATTTTGCTGTTACGATTTGGACAATTTGCTGTTAATTTGTATATATATATATATATATATATATATATATATATATATATATATATATATATATATATATATATATATATATATATATATATATATATATAATCAAATATGTGGCGCAGTTCAATTTATATTACATGAATCATTCATACAAAAAGTAGATTAGTAAAGTTAATGATATAAACAGCGAAAAATATCTTCGCAAACAAATTTATTAAAGTTACATTAACCCACGAACCTCTTGATGAATGTTATGATCCTTGTGTTTAATATCCTCAAGTTGTATAAGGTTTTTTTTTTATTTTGCTAGTACTTTCAGCTGTACATACAGCCATCCTCAGACATGGAAATTTGTTTTTTTAGTAAATCCAGTTAGTAGCGGGATACGAAGATGTTGCGAACTTTAATAAATTTGTTTGCGAAGATGTTTTTCGCCATTCATATCATGAACTTTACTAACCTACTTTTTGTATGAATGATTCATGTAATATATATATATATATGTGTGTGTGTGTGTGTGTGTGTGTCTATTACTCTCTCTCTCTCTCTCTCTCTCTCTCTATATATATATATATATATATATATATATATATATATATATATATTCTTTGATATTTCTTGTATGGAAAATCAATTGATGCTCTTACAAAGAGGTAAGAAGTGATTTTCTTCCCTGTACAAGACTGACCGCTGAGACGAACACTTTTTACACGCTTTACCTCCCAAGATTCAGTTCACAAGGACACATTTTTTTGCTAAGGGTCTTCAAATATGGATCTAATCTATTTTCATGGCTTGTGAAAAATCGCTGGCATTTTTATTAGATTAACAAAAAAAAAAAACAACGTAGCCTCCAGCTCAACCTGGCCAACCGAAAAAAAAAAAAAAACAGTGTTAAATCCTAGTATTAAGCAAATAATTATTGTATAAATTCGATGAATAACAAAAGACTTGATACCGAACCGAAACAGCCAAAAGCAAAGTAGGCGTGAATATATTAATAATAAAAGTTTAAAGAATTTATCGTTGATCTTAACAGCCACACCGTAGAATCTTTTCTTTCTTTCATTATTATAAAGAACTTTCACATTTTCATTTAAGCAAAACACATTACGACTTCCCTTTTGTATATCCGAATTGACAGCATCATTTACTCACGAGTTGGGGTGGGTATTAATAAATAAAGCCAATAAATTGCTTATTTCTAGATTTGATGCGCACACACACATGTACATTAATAGATTCGTTTTTTACGGCTTATCAACCCACTGCGGGTTATTTAAATCCTAAAAATATTTTCATGTTTGGTTTAGTTTGGTTTAGTTTGGTTTGTTTTACGGCATATTAACCCCAATAGGTTGTTTAAGGCCGGCAAGATTTTTAAGGCTGGTAATATTTATTTTCAAAAAATATATTGATGGTAATATTTTCCTTCAAAAATGTATTGCTGGTATTAAAACCGATTTTTCAATTTCACAGTACTTTGACCCCCATCTGGGGCCCCAACAGGTGCCACCACCCCGAACCAGAGCCGAACACCAGCAACCAAGAGGCGGTCCCATGCTCCTCAAAACCTCCTGATCAGAGGGCTTGCTGTTGGATGTAGTTTATCGTCTTACCCAGGACAACTCATTTTAGTGATGGGGGGGGAGTGTTAACCCCCTGCAGAGGTGCAGTCAGCGTATTCTGAAGTCCCAGATGACAGGTCGGTTTTCAAGTTGTAAGAATTGTTTTGGAGAAAATAATCATTTAGTGATACACGTCTTACTGATTAACCCATATCTGGGGGAAAATAGGTCGAATCATAGATAACCAGAATTTGATACACAAACCATAAATTATAATGTGGGTATGAATAGGGGACCTATATACTACAATCGTTGTATAAACTGATCCCTCACTTTGTGCCCATGGTAGTTTTTATACATTTATATTCCAGAGAATGTAAATAAATCTAAAAGACAAGCCTATAAAAAATTATCATGTGGATATAAATTGGGGGATCAATTTTATATTATAATCAATATAAACTGATCCCTCACTTTGTAGCCACGTTAGTTTCTATACATTTATATTCCAGAGAATGTAACTAAATCTAAAAGAAATCCCTCAAGAAATGATAATATGGATATAAAGTGGGGCATCAATTCTAAATTAAAATCAATATATAAACTGATCCTTCACTTTGTGTCCATTATAGTTTCTATACATTTATATCCCAGAGAATGTAACTAAATCTAAAAGAAATGCCTCAAGAAATT